GCGTCCAAGAAGCCCAAGATGACCTCCAAGACGGCCCTGGAGCAACCCAGGAAGGACCCAAGTCGGTTCAGAGAGGCCCCCAAGACGGACCTCAGGAGGCCCAAGGAGGCCCCCAAGATGCCTCCAAGAGGCCCCCAGGAAACTCCCAGGAGCCCCCGTGCCCCCAGAGTCTCCTAAGATGCCTCCTCCTCCTCCTTCCTCCTCCTCCGCCTCCTCCTCCTTCTGATCTTCCCCGTCATCCTTTAGTGTTCCCCGAAAGGTTTCCACAACGGCTGGGGGAACACATGGCCCGGTAGCTTGGCAAAGCTCTTGCCACAACGCTCGGCCACATGGGCGATTCCAAAAGGCAAGGGTTGGCGGTGATTCGCCGCAAGCGCCTTCGATATGCCGCCCCCTGTCGATTTATCACAGGGGTGCCTGGCGTGCTAAACGTCTGATGTTTTTCGGTTCCTTTCAAGACTCCCCCTGGGGCTTCGGCCGATGCCGCCAGCCACCGAGAAAGTCACCGAAATTCCGTCTCCCGTTGTCCAAATCGCCTCCAAGACGGCCAAGATGGCCCAAGATGGCACAATGCCTCCACGACGACCAAGAAAGCCTCCAAGACGGCCCACGAGGGTCCAAGATGCTTCCGAGTCCGCCCCAAGACGGCCCAAGATGGCTCCCATATTGCCCGAGACGGCCCAGGAAGCCCCCAAGAGGCCTCGAAGACGGCACAAGAGGCCTCCAAAAGGTCCTCCAGCCCGCCAGACGGCCCCAAGAGGACCCCAAGGCGGCCCACGAGGCCTCCAAGACGCCTAAAAGATGGCCTCCAAGACGGCCCTGAAGCACCCCAAGAGGGCTCCAAGTCGGTTCAGAGTGGCCCCCTAAGACGGCTTCCGACGGCATCAGACGGGCCAGGAACGCCCTTCGACTGCCAAAGAGGCCACGAAGAAGCCCCCAAGAGGCCTAAGGAGGCCCCCAAGAGGCCTCGAAGGATCTCCAGGGAGCTCCCAGGAGGCCCCGACAGTGCCCCAAGAGGCCGTCAAGAGGCCTCCTCCTCCTCCTCCTCCTCCTCATCCGCCTCCTTTTTCCTCCCTCCACCACGTGTTTCCCGAAGGGCTTCCACAACGGCTGGGGGAACACAAAGTCAGATAGCTTGGCCGAGCTCCGGCCGCAACGTTCGGTCATCTAGGCGTATCCTAAAAGGCAGGAGGCGGCGGTGATTCGCCGTAGGCGTCTTCGATCCGCCGACCCCTGTAGTCTTGCCACAGGGATGCGCGGCGTGCTAGATTTCAGGGTGGTGTTGGTCCTTGTAGAACTCCTGGTGGGGTCGCGGCCCAGCCCGGCGGCAACCCGAAAAGCTCCTCAAAGTCCAAAGCTCGTTGGTCAAATCGCCTCCAACACGACTAAGATGGCCCTGGATGGTCTCCAATATACCCCTAGGACCGGCAAAATGGCCCCAAGAGAGCCCAAGATAGCCCCAAGGTGGCCTCCAAGCCGGTCCCAAGACGCCTCCAAGACTGCCAAAATTGTCCAGTAGAGCCCAAGACGGCCCAAGAAGCGCCCAAGAGGCCCGTAAGACGGCCCAAAAAACCTCCAAGGAGTCCTCCAGAAGGCCCGAATAGAACAAACTCATTAATTTTCTCATTTAGTTTGAAGATGTTGACGGCGTCAGGCGGGCCAGGAATGGAGTAAGACTGCCAAAAAGGCCCCTAAGAAGCCCCAAAAGGCCCCGAAGAGGCCCAAGAATGCCTCCAAGAGGCCTCCAAGAGGCCCCCAAGAAGCTCTCGAAAGCACCAAGACCCAAGAAGCTCCCACGAGGTCTCCCCATCCTTCTCCTCATCCTCCTTTTTCCTCCATCTCCTCATCCTCCTCTTCCTCCCCCCACGCGTTCCCCGAAGGGCTTCCACAACGGCTGGGGGAACGCATGGTCCAATAGCGTGGCCAAGCTTTGCCCAAACGTTTGGCCACACAGGCGTATCCTAGAAGGCAGGGGGCGGCGGTGATTCCCCGTAGGCGTCTTCGACAACCTAACTCGACCCTGTCTCACCACCAGACGTGTCGCCAAGGCGGGCTGAGCGCTTCGCCCATGACTTCCTCACCCTGAAACGTCCAACCGCTGCACGGATGCAGGGAGGGGCGAATTCAAAATGGGGTTGGCTCTCGCCCTGGCGCCGCGCACACTCGTCAAGCTGACTTTCAGCTGTTACGCACCTCCTTACGAGTGGGGTTCTCGCAGTGGCGTCGCGCACACTCGCCTTAACCAATCACCAGCAATCTCACTGTTGCAAGGCGGCTTCTTTGCAACAAGGGGCTCCCCCTGGGACTTCCGCACAATGTGTTACCACGGGTAAAAGGTTGTACAACAGCTGCAATTATGGAGGGGAGCTCCGTGCAGTCGGACCCGAGACAGAATTACGTCCTTCAAGAACGCGGGACCCTCCGCCAGCCAAATTGAGAAGCACTCGAGGGTGCTCTCCCCCCAGGGGACACAAGAACATCCAACAAGCACGAAGAACATTCGGGTACCCTCCCCGAAACGCCCTCGACCTGATACCCCGATCTGACTGTATCAAGATGTGACCTTACAGTGGAGGCCGGTCCACAAGAAACCTTACATACACACGAAACCCAACCCTAAGACCCCAGGACGTCCATTGATCTTTGGCGTGGGAGCGTCGCGCTCTCCACAGCAACCATCGAAACACAAAAAACCCAGGGCACCCTGGAGGCAAGCAGGGTGTTTCTTGGCATGGGTTCCCGCTGTAGGGCACCCTTCCCGAACTGCCCTCGACCTTATACCTCGATCCGACTGCATCGAGATGTGGCCTTACGTTAAAAACAGCGCTGAGCATCAGCCCGCACGGATGGAGGGCGGCTCCCTGCATCCAACCAACACGAAAAACATCAGGGTACCCTCCCCGAACCGACCTTGTGGAACAACACACACGCACACACACAAACACATACACCGTGGAACAAAAACACGCAATGTGTTTGTTGCCCACAGTGTGTGTGTCTGTTTTCCACAGGTGTGCATTCTTTTCCACAATGTGCTTTTGTCCACAATGTGTGTGTTTTTTTCCACGTGTTTTCTTTTCTATAGTGAGTGTGTGTGTGCTTTCCCACAGTGTGCGTTTTTTCCTCATGCCTCGATCCGACTGCATCTAGACGTGGCCTTACACGTAGAAAGGCGTGCAGCGCCGTGCACCCGCCCGCACGGAG